AATTGTTGAGGTTGTCATAACCATCTGACGTACCCTTCATATTTCATACCTTTACAAACGGGAATAAATTTCTTGTAGTCAAATTGAAGCAAACGTCTATTCACGTTCATTGTATTTAAACAGGTCGTGATAGTGCAAATCCCCAGACAGACGTAACCAACAGTGCTTCTCAGCAGATGGAAGGCCTGATTGAACACCGTGGAGGTATTGAGGACTTTATCATGATCAATAACTTATGACTTAATTTTGAATGATGGTAACGGGCAAAGACTGTTCTTATAAAGTCCTTAACAATAGATAATATAATTTGAATAATTGAGTGTACCAGAGAACGTTGAAAATGTATTTAATCCAATGCTTATCATTAAACCTAATTTTGTCCCTCCTAAACTGAAGGTGGATCTCTCTCTTCCATAAGATCAAGAACAGTAAACTTCTCACGTTGGTTCAGCCGAGAATTCACTGCGAAAGTGCCAATTTAGACCTGCAGGCCAAAGTCGGATTCAGTTCCTCTTGCAACCATTTGAGCACAATTTAAGCCAAAACAGCCCCATCAATTAAATGCTTATTACAACCCACACTGAGACTCATAGCCTATGGACGCTAATTAGCCGTAGGTAGTAGGACTGTATTCGCCCTGATTAAGGAAGCTAAGTGAGAGCCGAAAATAGAGTCGAACCCCTAAGTCTTTGTATTTTGGGTGGTCGCTTACGGGAGGTGGTCGCTTACAAGAATAGAACCACAGGGCGCCTGTTCCAAGATGAGGTCCGGGCACATCTACTTTATGGAAGATAATTTATTGCATACAATTTCTAAGTTACACCATGTGTAGTTCCATCTTGTCACTAAAGTTGTTCGTATATTCTAAGTAGCACAGTGCACACAGCGAACATAGAGATCAGAGAATGCGTCAAGTGGTCGCTTACAAGAGGTTAAAAACAATGGAAAATCATTCAACTTTCAGGCCCAACATGTGGTCGAGGTCGCTTACGGGAGGTGATCATTTACTAGAGGTTCCAACTATATAGCTTTGACTGGGAAGGTTTCTCTGTTTTGGATGGGAGGTCGCTTATGGGAGGTGGTCGCACATGAAGGTTCCACTGTAGTGCTGTATTTCACTCACTGAAACGGTCCCATTACATGGCTAAAACAGGTCTTTCTGATTTACAGTGTAAGTATTCTATATCGTTCACAGGATGTGGGAAAGGAAAATCTTCGATGTTTGAGAACTTCTGCTCTTTATGTTTTTAACAAGCTCATTCCCCTTTCCCCTGCCATTTGAGCGCTTGCCACCCAATCTTAAGTGGTTTTTTAGTACGTCAGAAAATATTTAACATTTGGTTGCTGCCGTTTTTCACCGTATTGAAAACCAAACAAACCAGGCTAAGTTCCGTTTCATTTTTTCTCTCTGTTTTAGATTTTTCATACCCAACCGATGTCATAGAAAAGATCCGTCAGCTCTACAGAACACGTGAACAACGCCTCCTGCCTCTGCCTTGGTTAAAAGATTTTAGCTTTCATCTCAATGAAATTTTTACCAGATTAAAAATCGTTGGTAAAGAAAAAACCCGAGGAGTACTTACTGACGATATAACCAATATGACTGCTATCTTTAAGGCGCACGCAGAATGCCAAAGGCCACGAACAGTCTTGATCGAAGGAGATCCTGGTATAGGAAAAACTACGTATACTTCTTTAAATTCATTCGTGAAAATCAGTCCAAGGTTCTTTTAGTTCTCGATGGAATGGATGAAGCGGATCCCAGCAACCTCAAAAAGTTCTTTAACCTTGTCGAGGGTAAAGAACTCTCAGGTTGTTACGTTGTTCTTACATCTCGTCATGAAGTTGGAAAGAAAGTAAGGAGATGCTGTGACACTCTGTGGGAGATTATAGGATTCAACAAGGAAGATGCAGAAAGCTTCATTCATAAATACTTTAAAAGCATCAACAAGGAGCTTTTGGCTGAGAAAACTATAAAAATGATATGGCCGCCTTTGCATTCGGCAAGATCTACAGACCTGGGTGAATTGGCAAAAAATCCTTTAAACACTGCTTTATTGTGTGTTATTTGTGAGGACTTCAAGGGCGTTTTTCCAACAAGCAGAACCCAATTATATACTGAAATAGTCAACTGTGTTTTAAGACGTTATGAAAACAAGCACGGACTATCGAGCAACAATGATAACCTGTTGACCGTGTATAAAAGAGACTTATTTCATCTTGGGCAAATGGCGTTACAGTCGCTTCGGAAAGGAGAGCTGTTCTTTGAAGAGCATGAATTTCCTGAGAAACTTATTGCATTATCAAAGTTTGGATTTCTTTCACTCCAGGCGGCTGGCAGTAAGAGGAAATCTCGTGTGCGTTACGCATTTCTTCATAAAAGCTTCCAGGAGTTTTTTTCTGGATTCTATCTTGCTTGCCAAATAATTGAGGGAGATATTGACTGTGACTCAGTAGTGACTGATCAAAGTTACAAAGCTGAATTAAGCCAAGTCTTTTATTTTATGAGTGGAATATTAGCTTCATTAAGCGAGGAAATCGCAGAGTCTCTCGTGAAAAGTATCGCTGTTGATATCAATTCAATAAGCCGTAATCGTTATCCTGATGGACCCTTGTCACAACGTCTTTTATTTGCTTTACGCTGTGTATCGGGATACCCGAGGTTGGTTGGCACCTTAGGGGAGCGTCTTAACTTTACCCGTTTGAATTTTCAAGATGGTTCGATTGATGACTCTGATGTTAATTCTCTCTCCCAGGCTCTCGCAGCCAACTCCTCTTTATCTAAATTCACGTTGTGTGGGATCTGGATTGGTGATTCTGGTGTTGCGTCTCTCTCCCAAGCTCTTGTAAAAAACTCTTGCTTAATTCATTTGGATTTAAGAGCTTCTGCCTGAGAGACCGGGGCAGGCTTGGAAATAGGGGTCGGCCGATTTGGCTCAAATTTGGTACACTTAGTTACTATGGAGACTTATGCAATATGCCAAAGTTTCAGCTCCATTGCTCTTATTTGGGCTGAGTTCTAGATGTTACCCTTTTTGGGGTCCCCGAATGCTTTTTTTATAGCCTATTTTGGGCACTTTTCAATACTTTGATTACAATATCAGGGATATTTTAAGCCAAATATAAACTCACTTTTTATTATTTCTATCCCTAAGGGTCTTATAGCAAAACATATGGATCAAAGAAATATTTCTGTTGTCTGTGAAATAATTGTTAAGTTAATGCTCTTAAAGACATTTTTAGTGAAACTGAAAATAACCCAAATTTAAGTCGGATTTACTTGAGTGCCCACTTTTGAAATAACACAATTCCGACATGAGCAGAAAGTTTAGCCCTAGGTATGTAAAAAACAAGGAGAAAATACTAAGGTTACGGCTTTTTCACTGTGCGGCCTCGCTTTGAAGATGCTAATACAGCCACTTCCGGTCTAGTCATTTCCCCCTTATAATAAGGCTTATATAGAGCATGTTAGCCAAAACCTTTCCAATAACCTACCTAAATAATACTATATGTAGCACGTTTACTTTCTAATTCCACCTGAACGTTAAAATTGGCAAGATATGAAAATCTACTTCAGGAGAAAGTCACTTCCGGTCCAACAGTCCACATTGGAGGATTTTTATTAAAAGTGGTATTTTTATGTTCACAATGAAATCTCAAAAAGCTGTTTATGTATCTTTATGCCTATATGTTTTTCAATTTTTCATAGTCTATTGAGGAAAACAACAATTTTTTTTGTAGCGACAGCAATCAAAACTCGATCGCATGTTGAATCCCAGTTTGTTGACAAAATATATTATGAGGATGTTTTTTAAAACATCTCTACTGGCGAATATATGCAAGGCAAATATTTCCCTTTGGTGAAAGAGTGACGCCATTTTAAATTGTTATTGAGTAAAAAGTGTTTGTAGTAAAAAGAAAAAAACCCAAAACCCATAATTAAACCTGGGCCTTTACATTCATTTCATGTTAACTCTCTCCCCAACCACTTCACTACCACATCGTTCCGCGAGCAACACAAACTGTCCTTGCCCCCTAGCGATGACTTACGTCTGTATTTCACAGAATTTGACATTTGTTTTTGTTTCCAGTGAGCCAATATTCCCCATGACTCACACCTGATTACATGACTTGTTGCTCATCTCACCTGCTTTGGGCACAGGCAGCCCAAGGTCGTGATCTGAGAGCGATATAGCATTTGTTTTTGTTTGTTTGTTTGTTTGTTTGTTTTTTATCGTATATTTCCATCTAGGTTCCGCGAAAGCTAGAAAATGTCCATAAATTAAATAGTTTCATTGGCCTTCAGCTCTAGGTGTCTTTGTAACTTCGATAATAAGTAGGCACAAACAGAGGATGGGCGCGGGGGGCGGGGGAGGGTGAGCTTTACACGGCTGCTCGTTAGTTTTGGTTTTGCTGCAGTCTTGTTTGTGAGAACAAAACGTCACTGCGCGATACACCCAAATTTGCTTAGAGCAATGATCTGAAGAGATACAGCGTACTTTTCGCTGCAGTTTTTCACTTCAAACCCTTTTACAAGAAGTGGCAAGTTGGAAAAATTAAATTCGGGGAAACTGCACGTGAACTTGCTGCTCATAATTAAATTTAAAATCTTATTTAATTGCGTTAATGATGAATTCTCATGATCAGTATCTCTTGGCAGTCCTTGGAAAAGTATAAAATTGTACTACTGAGGTAGTAAAAACAATGTCATCAATTCGATGTTCTTTCTGGAGTAATGATGATCTCTGTGGTGCTCGCGATAATTCAAAGTTGTGTGAGCCAGCCGTCAGTCTGCCTTTAGCATCTCTAGACCGCGATGTAACTCACCTTTTGATTAAAGTTGGTGCTGGAGGCACCAAAACTTCAGCCTCGCACAGACTTCAACATTTTCCTGAGTACAAACTAATACTGAATCAAGCTGGAAGGTGTGGTGTCGTGAATGCGGAAATCAAGAAGATGACGATTTGTCCGCGTCACCGCCGTAAATTCACACGTTTACGAGAACTAACTGGACAATGTCAACACCCTCTTCATAAAGGTGAAATTTCCAAATTGAAAAAACCCAAGAAGGTGACAGCAGACATTTCAGAGAGAATATACCAACAAACGAGGATCGTGATACCAATCGCTGCCCGTAAGTAATGCTGAACGTTTCTTGTTTGTCCTGAGTTATTTTGGGATAGCCTTGTAATGAACAAAGTCAAATTCTATTTTCAAGAATTCAAATACCATGGACCATGGAATAAACCTAAAATCTGATACAGTGCTCGTTTTTCTTTTCTTTCCAAAGCCATTTGCAAGACCTGCTTTGACGAAAAGATTCCAGAACTTCATTTAACACCCGAAAGTGTAACTTCCAAAGATCTAGAGGTAATGTAAATATTGTAATCGCACGTGTTCAATCTCAAACATACTGCAGTTGTCTTTCAGGGTGAAAATATCCTCAGCGCTGTTGTCCTTAACCTCAAATACAGATGAGTCAAATTAACCGAGACTTTTCTTTACTCAAATAAAATATTCCAGCGATGAAAGGGGTGTGAAGCGCAATACAACTCATGACCCAATGTCAACAATTGCTATTGCGTGACTATTTGCTGGCATTAGTAGTCTTCACAGTAAAGCCGAAGTAAGCTTAGAAATATTTTTCGAGACAAGTGAATTTTAAATACTTCAAGTAAAATAAAGCTTGACACACAACCGATTCTTTTTTACCTCAGGTTAACTTAAGGTTATTTTCTCACGCAACGTAATTAAGATTGATTGACATGCTTTGCCTTTCCCAAAGCTCTCAAGTCCCTTGAGACTTTTGTTGAATCGTTTCAACTTTCCGTCCTTAATGAGATGCAAAATAAAATTACTTGAGATTTTACTTAGGCTTTCACACTCGCATTTTGGGTTAAATAAAACTTAGCAGCTCTTAAGATAGACTGCGTAGCAGGCGCCGGTGATTTTAGAGCGAAGGAAGAAAATCTCGTGGACGCGCGTGTTCCCGCGGCCTGTCCAAGAAAAAACAGAAAAGAGAAGCCGACTCATGCTATGCAGGCTACATCTCCGAAGTCTTACATGACAACCTCGTGTAAAGACAACCACTGACAGAAAACCAGGTGCTTTTGTTTTGGGTCCTAGATTTAAAATTCCAAATCGAACATTGTAACGTTTTTATCCTCTCTCATCAGCTCTCACCTTTACAATCAATATTTTATTCTCAGGGCAGACAAGTTTTGTGTAGTGGAGGAGAGGATCAGGAGGTGGAAGTAGTACTGAAAAACGTTGATCAAGACAAATCACTTATGTCAGGTACCCACTGTCCGTCACTCTTAGATTTTTCTCTGGATTCAACTTTGGAAACAAGCTTTGAATGTAGCCTTTACATTGACGAAGCAGAAGAGTTGAAAAGAAAACGATGCTTGCTAAGTGATGCAATTGTCCAAATTTCTGAAGGTAGGGTAAGTCCAATTCAAAGTACATCGAGGTTACCATGGCCTGAACTTGGTGAGCGGCAACAGGGTTATTACGTGCGTAAGGCTAGAGAGGTTATTGAAACAGCTTTCAACTGTCTCGCTCCTGGAAGTGAAGCCGATTTGTGGTTTGCTACAGTGAAGTCCATGCCGTTTTCTCAATCAAAGCCTGACGACATCGCAGAAAGGCTAGTGGAGGCTTACAAGTTAGCTGATAACAGACACACCCGAATGCAAATACTATCATTGTTTGTAAATGCATTTAGCAAAAGCCAACTAATGGAGATTATCCCAGGTATTTCTAAACGACAAATCGATGATGCCCGCAGACACGCCGACTTGAGAGGACCAGGAAAACCAAGCAATGCTCCAGAAATTATTAGAGTGCGCCTTGATGCAACGAAAACTGATCACTTTCTAGATTTTATTTCTTCATCTTCCCTTTTGCAAGATGTATCATATGGTACAAAGTCGTTGAAGTTGGATAGCGGAGAGAAGCTTCTTATACCAGCGGCAATACGAACTTTGATTCCATCCCGAATCATCAAGCAATACCAAAGCTACTGCGAGAGCGTAGCTTTTGAGCCATACAGTGAACGTACACTCTTCCGGATATTGGAGGCATGCTCTGCTTCAAAGCAGGTCTCGTTACAAGGACTTGATTACATCGCCACAGAAGGTGCGGAGGCTTTCGATCAGTTGAAATCCATTGTAAACGTGCTGCAAGATAACGGGGTCGATGTCACCTGGGCAAATTCTATCAAACAGGATCTAAAGGCTGGTAAGAGATACCTCAAGACGGATTACAAAACTCACACGGGCAGCAAAGAGAGATGTAAAGATCACTGTACCACGTTTTCGCTCAGTGATCCGAATAATAGTGACTACTCTAGTTCATGCAACCATGAGCATGAACTATCCTGTCATGAATGTGCACGGCTTACTTGTTTAGTTGAAAAAATCGATGAGAAGTTAAATGACAAGAACGTTTCCTTGACAGGAGAACAAAGGGCTAGATCTCAGTATGACCATAAACAGGCCACAAATTCCATCCTCTTATGGAAGGCGCATTTGCTTCGCACAGTAGTCCAGGAAAAGGCTAAGCAAGACGTCCTAACTAACCTTAATAAAGAAAGCACCCTTTTGATCATGGACTGGGCAATGAAATTTCTGCCAATGAAGTTCCGCGAAAGGATGGACGACTTCTATGGTAAGCGTGGGAGAAGCTGGCATGTGACCTGTTCGATTAAGAGAGCTAGCAAAGATGAGGACAGAGTTGAGGTGGACACATTTGTTCACATCTTTGACTCCTGTACCCAGGATTGGTTCAGCGTTGCGTCAATAGTCGAACACGTTCTTAGCGTAATTAAGATGGAAGACCCATCCATCACCAAATTTTTCCTACGTTCTGATAACGCCGGTTGTTATCACAACACTGAGCTTCTCTTGAGTCTCAAAGCCATGGGCGAAAGACATGGAGTGGAGTTTAAGCGCTATGATTTCTCTGATCCGCAATCGGGCAAAGACGTTTGCGACCGTAGAATTGCCTCGATGAAAACCCACATGCGACGGTGGGTAAATGAGGGCCATGACATCACTACTGCGGAAGAAATGAAAATTGCACTTGAATCTCATGAAGGCGTTAGGGGATGTCGTTTTGCAGTCGTTGTAATTGATAAATCGACCCAAAATTCACAGGTGAAAAAGATCCCAGGTATCAGTTACCTGAACAATTTTATGTTCTTTGATGATGGTATTCGGGCATGGAAAGCATATCAGATTGGGGAAGGTCATTTTTATCCGTATTCTTCCCTTACAACCAATGCTCAAGGAGCTACAGCAATAAAAGTTCTTAATCCGTTTTCGTCACCATCTAATTGCTCTGGGGCTTCAGTGGCTGGACATTCCTCCATTTCGCCCGGCCTGTTCTCTTGTGAGGAAGAAGGATGTGTTAAGATGTTTTCTACCTACAAAGAACTTCAGTATCATTTAGATGCGGAACGCCATCTCTTCGTGGAGGAGCAAGACACTGCGTACGATGTCATCAAGAAAAAGTGGGCCAGCATCTTATCAAACGTAAGCTTACAGAAACAGCGCACTTTTCCATCAATGCAGCCTGGTAATGAAGGCGTTTTGGATTGCCAAGAAGCAGTTGAGGGATGGGCGCTTAAGACCGTCCAAAAGTCAAGCCGGATGTCTGAAGACGTTAGAAACTACTTAATCCAAAGGTTCAATGATGGAGCAAAGACAGGCAACAAAGCAGATCCAAAACAGGTTGAACATGAAATGAAACATGTAAGAAACACGACTGGTGGCTTATTATTCCAACCTTTTGAGTGGCGTACCTCAAAGCAGATTGCAAGTTTTTTCTCAAATCTCTCAAAGTCTCAGCGTGCAAAGAACATTGATGAAGGAAACCATGGTATTGAAACTGAGGATGAGGAGACAAACATCCAGGACAAAAACTTACAACTGTTGCAGCTTGTCATAGAAAGTCAGGTACAGGCAGATCACCCAATTTTGTTCCAGGGGCATAATTTATGTCATCTAGCTACAGAGGGAAAGATCAAAACCCTTCGACTAGATACACTGAAAAAGGCATGTTTGTCGCTGGACGTAGAAGTTACTGGATCCAAAGCAAGGAAGGACACTTTTGCTCTTGCACTAGACAAGTACATCTGCACCCACCGATCTAAGAGCTGCAAATACTGTCATGATAGGTGTTGAACATTGTTAATGCAATTACTTAAAGACGTTAACAGTCACCCTATTACGCATAGTGAGTTTTAATGGATAAAAAGCAAGGAAAATATGTTCAGAATTCTTGTTGAATTTGACTGGTGTTCATGAACAATGAAAACAGTGTTAAGCTATAACAGCGCCTTTTTACCGTCATAAGTTTTCAAAATTCCTTTGCTCGATCAGCTTTCACCAGGCTTGGAAGGGTGAGTTTTTTGTTTTGAAATACGCTTTTCTGTAATTTTCACCCATCCACAAAAGGAAGCCAGAATTAGATGAAGTGATGCAATCTGAGAGAATATCTATATTTAACCAACTTTAGTTTTAAGTGCAATTAGAAATATGTGCAAATGAAAGAGCTCCAAACAGATTTTTTGAATATAAAAATGCCTCACTTAACCATCCTCTCATGTGAACTGTTGGACCGGAAGTGACTTTGTGAGCATCTCCAGCCGTACATATTCATATTTTGCCAATTTTAGCGTTCAGGTGGAATAAGAAAGTAAAAGTGCTACAGACAGTATTATTTAGGTTAAGTTATCGGAAAGTTTTGGCCAATATACTCGATATAAGCTTAATTATAAGGGAAAAAAGACTAGACCGGAAGTGGCTGTATTAGCATCTTCAAAGCGAGGCCACACAGTGAAAAAGCCGTAACCTTAGTATTTTCTCCTTGTTTTTTACATACCTAGGGCTAAACTTTCTGTTCATGTCGGAATTGTGTTATTTCAAAAGTGGGCACTCAAGTAAATCCGACTTAAATTTGGGTTATTTTCAGTTTCACTAAAAATGTCTTTAAGAGCATTAACTAAACAATTATTTCACAGACAACAGAAATATTTCTTTGATCCATATGTTTTGCTATAAAACCCCCTAGGGATAGAGATAATAAAAATTGAGTTTATATTTGGCTTAAAATATCCCTGATATTGTAATCAAAGTATTGAAAAGTGCCCAAAATAGGCTATAAAAAAAGCCTTCGGGGACCCCAAAAAGGGTAACATCTAGAACTCAGCCCAAGTAAGAGCAATGGAGCTGAAACTTTGGCATATTGCATAAGTCTCCATAGTAACTAAGTGTACCAAATTTGAGCCAAATCGGCTGACCCCTATTTCCAAGCCTGCCCCGGTCTCTCAGGCAGAAGCTCTTAAGTTGGACCTGTGTTAGGGATTCTGGTGCTGAGTCTCTTTCCTATGCGCTTCTAGAGAACGCCTCCTTAAGACGTTTGGAGTTGAAGTGGAACGACGTTGGCGATTCTGTTGCTGAGTCTTTTTCCAAGGCTCTTGCAAAGAACTCCTCCTTAACACATTTGGATTTGAAGGGGAACAGAATTGGTGATAATGGTGCTGTTTCTCTTTTCCAGGCTGTTGCAGTCAACTCCTCCTTAATTACTTTAGATTTGAGCTGGAACAGTATTAGTGATTCTAGTGCTGCGTCTATTTCCCAGGCTCTTGAAGCTAACTCCACATTAAATTATTTAAATTTGAGGGCTAACAAGTTTAATTATTCTGGTCGTGCAGTTCTGTCAAGCATTTGTGAGAAAAATACAACGGTGTATGTTCGCTTTGATGATTATGATTATTTTGAAAGTTTTGAAGGTCGTGTGAATGCCAGTTGTTCTGATTATGCTTCTCATTGTGCAGATTGTGATTGTGATTGTGATGCGCCAGATTGTGATTGTGATTGTGATTGTGATTGTGATTTGGAAGATGATTTTGATCATTATTCGATGTCTGATCACGATAGTGATGATGACCATAATGACCATCAGGACGATCGTGACAGTGGTAGTGAGGAGGACGAATACGAAGAGAAACATGTAATTAAGTAATTTGTTTATGAGACGGTTACACCAGTGACGTGATATTTAAGAGTTTTTATGTCTGAAATCAATCAGACAACTGTTCTTTATTGGTGAATTTTTTTATGAAGATTACTGCGTGCAGTCCTCTAGCATAAAAGATGGACATTTTTACCCGATATTAGTCATATTGTGTGGTGGACTTTTTAGGGGTTACTTGTGATAGGATAAAATTATATAGACCGGGCGAACTTTCGGACATTCAGAGGTACTGCCTGCCCCGATTAACTTTTCCTTATTAGTGAAGGTAGTGTGCATTTATTATGTATTTCTTTTGCAGTCAATAAAGTTGCTTGCAAGCTGCATTCTCTAAATACTGTGGCCTACTGGAATCGATATGGCAAGTTACCAAACTTATTTCGTAACTTAAGCTATAGGAAACTAGGGAAAGATGAATGCCCAATAAATGTCCTCAAAATGCTGTCAATTCATAATGAGAAACGTTTATATGTAGATTTCCCCCCTCCAAGAAAACTGTTATAGACTTCGCTTTCTATATGAAAGCATAACAGCTTACTACATTTATTGCAGCGATGAAACAAAATTTTGGCTAATTTTAGAAGAGGTTAGTGTAATTTTGGTCAGCCCTGCTAACGAATCTCAGGGCTGAATTTTAGGGGCAGTGTCACCAGCATTTTGTGCGACTTTAAAGTATAGACGAGCGAAAAAAGCGCGCGAGCATCGAAAAGCGAGCGAAAAACAGCTCTCTCTTTCCAGCCCTCACGCGGTTTTTCGCACTTTTTTCGGTCCGTTCTCCCCACTATCTTGGAGCCTAGAACAGGCTAACCAAAAAGTGGCACACAAGCCGCAGGCCAGTGTGTCGCTGATGTTTAACGCACATTCAGTAGAGTAGTACTCTAATCTTCTTAACAGTGCCAATCTACCTAGCCTACAAAATCGGCGTTTACAAGATCTTGCTGCCTTAATGGATAAAGTTAAATATGGTTTGGTACCTAGTAATGTCGTTGACATTTTTAGTGTTAAGTCATCCAAACATCACTTAAGAGATATGGATTTTCATTTACCCAGACTTAATAGTGTACGTTACGGGAAACATTCAATAAGGTACTTTGGACCATATCTACGGTCTAGATTGGACGGCAAAATCAAGGATAAACCTACTCTACATCCTTCAGGTCCAGCATACGGCGTATTAACCTTGTGGATGTTATAAGTGAAAGTTGTGGCTCCTGTCTTATTTGTAGTACTTGAGAATTTTTAAAAATATTTTAAGCATTTTTCGGTATATTTTAGTGGGGATAACTCCGTAATCTTTTAACTTTTAGATTTTTACCTTTTCTAAATTTTAGATTTTAGAGAATTATAAATTCACCTTATGATACCATGTATAAACTCATTTTATAATTTTTTCCTATTATTTTAGTGTCCCCAGTTAGCTTTTATAAGCTAAAGACATCGACACTCAAATAAAGTTGTTATGTTATGTTATGTCAACTATTACAAAATGAGATACAATCACATGAATAGGCTAGTTTTTAACTTTCAAACGACATATTTGGCTTTATCATGTTTATAGCTGAGGGGAAAAAACATAAGAAATGAGTTATTATTCCTGGCCCTCAATCAATCTCAATGCGATTTCTTTTGTTTTCATATTCCCCTCAGCCTCGGACCAATGTATGAATAATTTTAATATAATTCGAAGCAGCAAGCCTATTACTCACGTTGAAGACGTCTCTTGTCTTATATAGTCAATATAAATTCTCCCCGTATATTTCTTGTAGAAAAGCCTAGAAATACGCTTTGTTAAGGCTTGCTAGCCGAGCGTTCGATTCTCTTCAAATTAAGCCTGTGAGAGCTAGTTAAAATACCATTATGAACTTTCTAGAAGTTAAAACAAGAAACGACGATGGAGAATATTGGATATGGCCTGGGTGCAACGCCATTACCCACTTTAATGATAGTCAAGAAATGAACATAGATACAGCAACTGAAATAAAACTAAAGCTACGTGTAAGCGTACCAGGATGGCCAGAAAAAACCTGTCACAAAAAAACCCGTGGGGAAAAAAGCGCGGGAAATCTGAAGCGGGCCAGGTACAACTTACGTCCCCCGCTAGGACTCTAAACAAATTACTCAAAACTGCGACAGACAAAAGCAGAATTGATTCTAATAAAACCATTAAAAGTGAATAATGGAAAATCACTGAAGCTCGTATACACCTGGATTGAAGAAACTTAAATAAGGCTAAGCGCTAACAATTACACTCGAATACTGAAAAATATACTGAAATATATATATCCAATACACCTGGACTGAAAGTGACTTAGATACGGAGATCTCTCCTGCCAAAAAAGCCAGTGTTAAGTGGCTTCGCACCTCCAACCAGCGTGGATATCCAACAAATCACCAGCCATTCTCATATAAGCCGGATTGGGTGCCGCGCCAGACACGCGCGGTGGGTACTGTACTTACTTACAAAGATAACTTAAAAATGGCTTAATACTCCCCTTAAATTCCTCTCCTAAGTAACCTGTATAAAGAAACACCTACCCTGGAATGAAAATACAATAATAATCAGTACTTCTAAAATTGAGCTTGGACAATTACACGAACTAATGGAAACGCAGACACTGAGGCAAGAACTAAGTAAAACACTAGGTCACAGCTACGGGACAAGGCCTCTCCTATGTAGATTTATTTTGCGCTCGCACGGACGCATATAGATGGGAAACATCGCGAAACGCTCAGTATATTCTTAATTTCATCAATACGAATTGAAAAATCAGTAAATCTATCAAAAGGGTAATCAAAAAACAAAGATCAGAAACCGAAGGTGACAGTAGAGGCAAAATGAGCAGCGATCGCCTGGCAGTACTAACAGACAGCGGTTACTATACTTAGGCTGAACAGGGTGCGCAAGCCTAGCTTCTTTTGGCGTCCTCTAATTAAAAGGCAAACTTAAGCAAGGGGTGGCTAACAGGACAAGGTTAAATACCAGCCACTGCATGGCCCCAATTAATACTGTAAACAGCAGGTTCTAAATATGATTCGCCGGTGTTATCCTCAGATCAACGCTAAGCTAACTCACATTTAATTAATAATGCAACGAGACATGTGAAGGTTATCCGGATACCAGGAACACCAATCTTCGAAAAAACCCACTCGCACCACCACAACCAGCCAGACTCATTTTTTCAAGTCTGTGGAAGGTGCCTTAGCATCCAACTGCAAACCAGTGAGGCCTGGCACCGTATCACTCAGCAAAGAATCAGTCAAGGGCGCTGTTTCAAGCCATATCCTAGAATTTAGAACAACTGAAATAAAAGAAAATCAGCGCAAAAAATCCAACAACTACCCCGCTATTTACTTAACTGAACAAAAAAAGCATTGGACAAGAGAGGCGCTGAGCAAAATATCCGCGCAAAGAAGAATTGAGAACTTATATTACAGGCCCAAAACGAACCGACACCAAAATGACTTGAAACACACCGAATCACGCTCAAAAATAAGCCAAGTCAGGCTCACAAACACGCCAAATCAGGTTGAAAAATATGCCAAATCAGGCTCACAAACACAACTACAATATGCCAAATCAGACACAAAATATGCCACATAAGGCAAACAACATAATATGCCAAATCACACTCCAAAAAATATCCTGGGCGACCGCTACGAGACCCACTGGAAAGGAAATCCACTTATCCTTACCACTCCAATCTCGCACAAAGGCATCAACACACCTACAACAAACTTGGAGTCAAAACGCGGAAGCTGAGGGCTCTACACGATAATAGAATCGATATGAATGGTTCATCGTGTGAGGACCCCGTTTGGCATCAAGGACTCGAAATACGGAGGGATTAACTCATGATCAGTTACGAATCATCCTCGTCAATGACACGGCACAAAAGATTAGCCGTCTCGTTGAGCGATGTAGGGATCCTTTGCGCCTCTAAGGCAGTATACGTACCATGCGCAAAACAAACATGAAAAGTGCTTAGTAGCCACCGACTGTAAAAGGACCCTAAAGCCATCAAAGGAAACTACTCAGGCGGTACTAGGGTTGTCAGTGAAAATTTTCACCTTCCCGCGCTTTAACTGCTCTACAAAAGAAAGCAAAGCATATTAAATAATAAATAGCTGTCAATACGCGAAAAATAGAACTATAACCCAAATAACCGATCGTGAACTTAGCGTTAGCCACAGGCGTAAAAGCAGCGTCGCTAGCGCCGGCAAATACAACTGTGGAAGAGTAGGGGGGGTGGTGCCGAATGGAGTAACCGTTTAAAGAGTCTCAAAAACGAAAAATTTCAATTCCTCCAGCCGAGCGGGAGTGAAGCGAAAAAGGAGATCGTAAGTCGATCAAGACTCCATAGCTACCTACCCACCACTTATTTAAGAACTTCTGCCTGAGAGACCGGGGCAGGCTTGGAAATAGGGGTCGGCCGATTTGGCTCAAATTTGGTACACTTAGTTACTATGGAGACTTATGCAATATGCCAAAGTTTCAGCTCCATTGCTCTTATTTGGGCTGAGTTCTAGATGTTACCCTTTTTGGGGTCCCCGAAGGCTTTTTTTATAGCCCATTTTGGGCACTTTTCAATACTTTGATTACAATATCAGGGATGTTTTAAGCCAAATATAAACTCACTTTTTATTATCTCTATCCCTAGGGGGTTTTATAGCAACACATATGGATCAAAGAAATATTTCTGTTGTCTGTGGAATAA